ATTTTTAGCCTACGAATCGGCTGCATGGCACTAAAAGGGTTACGAAGCATGCCCATTTCTTTCCCTCCAGGTGCTCTCTTGCGAGGAATTGGAATTTTCTCAAAGGAAGAAGTTGGAGGGAATAGGTGCGGAGGCGCCAATCGATTGACAGTTTGAATTAACAGCAGCCAATTTGATTTTTCACAACGAAGTGGTGCATCGTAGACAAAGAAAAGAGCAGGTGCAGTCCATATATTTATTTTGCGATCTCCACGTAAAACCAAGAAATACCTGAACGAAATTCTCACCCGAAAAAAGCGAGATTGTTTTCCCTGCCACCCGGGAAAGATGGAGCTTCAAATTGTAGGAGTGATTTTGTGTTTAAAATGTAAGAAGCATGTCTGATCGTTCCTCTGGTGCTAGGACAAAATGTCGCCGGTCACAATGTCGCCGGACAAATTGTCGCGGGAAAAATGTATTGGACTAATGTTAACGAGACATACTATCGCTTGATAAAATATTCGCCTTACGTAATTAAAGATGCGCGATAGTGCTAACGATCATGTTGGATCCTCACCACTAATCCTTTTGTTTTAAAATAGCCCGATGAAGGAGACTCCTGCTCCCCCCGCTGAGATGCCCGTAAGCAAAAAAGGTCATACAAAATAGATAAGGAAACAAAATAGCAGTGTAGGGAAAAAAAATTACCGTATAGAAAGCGGGGATTTGCAACTCATAATTCATCTGCCTACTGTGCCATTCCCTGACGTGATGGAGTTTATTCAAACTCAGAAGAACGGAAGAAGTATCAACAAATTAATGAGGCATTCCGTACAATGTTGCTGACTTTGCAAATCGGGATATTGTACAATTTTTGTTTGACGTTGGACGCGTCGTCAACATTAATGTCCTGTGACTGAACTTCATCGGTCATGTGATTCCCCTTTTCTTGGACTTGGTGAATATCTTCATGTGATTTCATATTTTGAATGTGCTTGGTACTTTTTTACGGCTTTTTCCTGAAGCAAACTTTCTCTCTATACCTATCCCAGTTCAACCTCCAACCATATAACACCAGAACCACCATTTTCTCAGTGGTGACATTTTTTATTGGCGACATTTTGTCCTGGCGACAATTTGTCTGCTTACGGTTTCTCGTGTTGCTCAGAGAGATTTCGATTTTCGTCGGAAAATTCTCGATGCTAAGGTGTCGGCAGTGGTTCAGAGAGATAAGTTTCCATTATTCTCACAACTGTTGGACGGCTAGCATATAGAAGGCAAGAAGAGTAAAGGCGAAAATGTTGAAGTAGGCCATCTGGTCGGTCTCATCTGACTGCCTTAAGCAATGTCACACTTTGACTCGGACTCTTTTACGAGGGATTTTCCAGCCATTCATGAGGAATGGACTCAGGTATCACCTTCGTCTCCTTAGATTTCATCCATTACTGTCCCGTCGTCAACGACATTGCTCCACCAAGCATGATTAAGGCCTGTTAACTTTCAGTATTCTAGATGTCTTCGAGCAAATAAAATTCGATGGTGCTAAAATAAGTGGGGACTTTGATCCGAGAATCGTTGTCCCACCAAATTTACGCCTTGCCGTTCCCTGGAGAGAAAGCGAATGCGGGGAACTTCCCTCAGAAGGCTTTTTAGCTGGGCGTGAAGGCGCCGCTCATACCCGCATCGGCATCCCCAGTCGAAGTGGAGGCACGCCGCCTGCTCGTCTCGGTCCCATTTCCCTTCTTCCAGGCTTTCCCAGGAAAAAAGATAAATCGTTTCCGGGATTAGACAGATGTCATCCCGCTTATCTTTCGACAGAGCTTTACCGGTGGGGGTTTGATAACGTTCAGCGTGATGTGTTTTCCCAACTCGACGGTAACAGCCAGACGAGAGGAAGAAACGCGCATTGCTGAATCTCATTTTTACTCTTAAGTGTGTTCGGAGGCCTTCCCTGCCCTTTAAAGTTATGTATTTAAAAAAAAGGTCACGTTCCTTTATGGGCGATACAAGAAAAATAACACTGTGAACAATTTTACTGTAAGTAGGTAAACCCCAAATTAAATATGATACCATGTACCAGTTTATGAATTTACAAATGGTACTTACCTAGGCCAGGACAGGCAAAACAGTTCCCAATGGGTTTTTACATATTTTGGGACATACGATCGGTTTTTACATATTTTGGAACATAGTTTCATTCAAACCTGTTGTCATTCACGCTGAAAACATAAGCCAACGCAGTGGCGGATCCAGGAGGGGAGCCACCGCCACCCTATAGCCAGGTTCGCATTCTATTCATTTTTATTAAGTTAAAAAGCATAAGTTCATTTATTTTTGGTCAGTTACATAAATATTCATATTTCACCCCAGATAAAAAATAAACTAGTTACAGGACGAAGGTAGGAAGGGGAGGCCCCACCCCCATATTAATTTTTTTTTCTACCTCTGAGCCAAAGACATGTGGAATTAAACATACCGCATCCAAGAACCTAATTGACCTAGTTTTCTTGCTGCATTACGTGTCGACTAGCGTGGTATTTTAGATTTCCAATGTGAAGGAGAAACACCATTTCCTTATGGGCAATCTCATACTACTCCCAAGAGGCCCCGAGGCTGGGAAAGAAGCCCAAACTCACCAACTACAGCCGAGTCATACTGCTGAGAGAAATGCCAACACTAGAGAGCTATGATGAGCGTCATGGGGACAAATGCAAGTATGTGGTCACCGAAGACCAAAAGTTACGAAGAAAGTTCGAGTCGGTATGTATTGTCCACGCAGTGAATAACGAGTCGAAAGTGGTTCATGGGATGTAAGAAAAGTTGTTCACGGGGATCCATTGGCTAGCTTGTGCTGTGATAGGAAGATGCAGATCTGCAGAGTGGCCAAAAATGTCAAGGATTCTCCACACTTTCCTAAAATAGGGTAAACAACCCCAGTTTATGGCCACGCTGACACTTCCATAGTTTGTGGACACCATGTGCGCACGCTGGGAAACACTTATGATAGGTCCTCGTACGGGAAGACGTTGATTGCGTCGAAACGGGCAGAGTATATTTTTAATTATGCTGGATTTAAGCCTCACTGGCCAGAAAACGAGGTGCTTACCCCATGTATTGAGTCTAATTTTTTGTTGTTGTAAAGAAATCCGCCATCCTCGTGGACTAAACTCCACAGCATATGTGCACCGAAACGAGACATCGAGCCGCTCTTCCAGGGCATCCGCTGTCTTCCCAAGCCATATGAAGGAGGCCTCAGGAATTGGAGCGATGCCATTCCCCATTTCTTTGAAGCGTCCAGTTGCAGCACCGATGGACGTGTGGCTGCACGTTTCACATTAGACGGTCGTTAAAATAGTAATTTTACTCTAACATTTGACAGGTAACGGCCAACGAAATTTGCAGCATTCTGCCATCCGGCTCTCGTGAAATTCAATTGCCGACCACTGCCCTTAGGCCTGCAAATCTCTTACTAATTCCTTTACCTAAGTGGCAAATAACGCTACATACGCTCAGAGTTTTTTTGGTAAACACAGAGTGTCCTGTAAAAGTATACCCATGTGTTATTGGTATGACTTTATAGGCCTCGTGCGTTATGCCTACAAGGCTATAAATGTGGCGAGTACGTTATAACATATGCGTATTAAACGAATTCTACCCTGTAGGTAATCGTCGTCCCACGTCCTTCCGCTTAGCCTATAGCCTGGAAAGACAGGCTTTTAGGCATCTCGCGTCATACTACGGTAGCAGAATTCCAGGTCAGAGAGACCGACTCGTCACTGGATGTGGAAGTGTTAAAAATGCACACTGTATTTGATAGAAAATTCGTTGACTGGATACTTAGCGTTATTCACAAAAAAAATTGAAATCGCAGGAGGACCCTTTTATATTTTCTTTGACCCTTGTAGGATCCGAAGTCCAAGGACCTTTCCATTGACAGTACGACCTATAACCACGCGCCCATAGCTTAGCCTGAAATCTTGGGAGTAGGTTCGGTCATTGGCCAGCAGCGTAGGTTAGAGCATAGCCTAGGGCTTACGGTCAACTCGTGTCGACCGTGGAAGTATCTTCTCTCTCTGAAGCACAGGTGTCTGATGGCTAGCCACGCATAGTACCCTGCTCGAGAGCTGGACGGACTGCATCGGCTGGGGACGGCGTAAGTTCCTTCTAGCTTAATGTCGCTGCTGCAATGGGGTCTTTGCAGAAGTGGATGTGGCTGGGCTCAAATAAGTCATCTGGTCACGAATCGCAATTTAAGAACTTTAAGCGCCAGTGAAATTATGCTCGAATGACTTTTCTCAAAATGAGGCTTCAAAGAAGAATCGAAAAGCACTGGGAACTCCTATTTCAAATCGAGCCATATTCAAGCACGCTTTCTTGAAATATGTTGCATCGACTCTTGGGCAAAATTATTCGATAACAGTCATCTGCAGGAATGGTCTAGATAGGAGATGATCAGCGGAACATTGGGGATAGATGATAAAGCACATGGAGTAATCCTCGCAGAAACTGCTGCTATCAAGTTCAATCGCACAATATTTGGTTTCGTTAATCTGAAAAATATCCGTATGGATATGAAAAGTTACCACTTGGCTTGGACTAAGGTGACACAAATGGCACCATGGGCGGTTCGTTTTCTCGCCATGCCGTGATTTTCTCTGCGATTTTAATTGCAATTAATGCACAGGCGAGTTACCTTCAAGAATTCCACTGAAGTTCCGGATTCCATTTCTGGCACGCCGAATTTTCTATTTTTCTCTGCAATGAATGGAGGACGCATGCAGTGTCATCGTGTCGAAATACGCTGCAACAATGGACGTTCCCCAAGTATTTTAAATTTAAAATAATAATTACATTTAAAAAATACGCGGTGTACGGAGGAAAAAAAAGTGTGTATTACTCCTTTGTCGATCGTGGATCTCTCTCTTTAGAGAATTTCTTTAATTCATCTCTCGTGGAATTTGGCTAACATTTGGCTCTTGCAGTTCGTGAAACATCAGGACGACAGTTTATTTTTCAGTTGGCTACATCTTGGTGGATTCTTCCTCTCGAAGGTCGCCGAGGCGCCGAGAGATTTCTTCTAGCTGAATGAAGATTCTTTCCAGACTCGTTGGCCGTTTCGCTTTCCTGCTCCGTTTTGCGCGCATGAATAAATTTAACTTCTCGGCCTCCTCGTGGCTCAGATTGAGAGCCTTTAAAGTTGGATCCGCCGGATTTCGCTCGATGAAGTTCCTCCTGGGAGAGAGGGTCAAGGTGGGATTCCGCTTCCCGTTCGCCTGCAGCAACATCGTTTTCTTGGCCAGGTAGTCGAGGATGCAGTTGAAATGCGTGTAGAGGCATCGGAAGAGGTAGACATCGAAGAGAGACGGACACGAGAAATAGGATCGCTGGGTCGACGTGGATCCCCGGAACCAGTTCTTCACTCGGTCCGAAGCGTTGATCACGCGGTCCCCAGCTTTGATCACGCAGTCCCAAGGGTTGAACAAGCGGAATACGTTTTCCTGGTCCCGAAGAAAGATGGACTCCATGTAGAATATGAGTTTCACCTGAGACGCGTAGCGTAGGGCCTTGGCGCTTTCCTTGATGTTTTGCGTCTCGCCGACTGCCAGACCCGTCAGCAGGTTCATGAGGACGATCGTCATGAAGACGATGAACGTCAAGAATGCGACGTGGCTGAATCCGTCGAACTCTCCAAAGGGGATATTCTCGTAGCCGAACTCCCCCATGAGCATCGCGATGGTCTTGAGCAGGGACTTCTGGAAAGAGGAGAAGACCTCCGCGGGATAGAAGAGGAGCATGAAGATGGAGGAGTACATGATGATCAAAACGGACCAAAACAAGACGATCAGCTTGATAAAGGTGAATGAAATGGTGATAAATATGTGGACGTAGAGGGAGAAGATGGGAAGCTGACTGCATATGCGGTGCACTTCAGAGAGGGAAAAGAAAAGGGCGAGCACACCGTACCGGCAACCCAAATCCACGTCGTCTTCGATGAGGAACGCATACACGAATGTTACCATGGTCACTTCCAGGAGGTTTGTCACGTTCAGTACGTACCAAAAGGGACTGAAAAGAAACTGGTAGAACTCGAGAAGTAGAATCACAGAGTTGAGGAAAAGCAAGGTGTAGCGTGCCATCTGCCATGTCTCTGGTAAATACTGGAAGTACGTTTTGCCATTGGGGAACATTCGTTGCGTGATACTGTCGTTAGTGGAAGAGGTAGAACGCTCACATTCCTGTGGAATCCCCCGATTAAAAACATCGAGAGTGAGGCGCTCCTCATTTTCCACGACTACCATTGCTCTCCGTGCTTCTTGCATGCTTGGAAACACTCCAGCGTGGAGAAAGACGTATAACATCACTAGGTAAAGTATGTAGAGAGAGCAATGGAGAGTGAATAGGGCCGAGATCCTCTTCCACTTGAGATACAGAAATGTGGTGATGACGGGATGTTTGAGGACTATTTGATGCTGGGGGCTCTTGGCGATCCACCAGAGACAAGTCGTCTCGGCAAACATCTGCGAATTTTTCTCCGACTTTCCCTCCTTCGACTTTTCCACATCTGTCGTTTCCATTCCTCTCGATTCTTCCACCTCCTTTGACACTTTCCCCTCAGGGGGCAGCAGGAAAGTCAAGTCCAATTCGACCTTCAAATTGTTTCCATGTGCATCGTACCTGTCCGGTATGCAGTCATCAAAGTACTCCAACAGGGTGTCCGAGGAAATCTCCTGCAGAGGGAGGTGACCCTCATCGTTGCGAATCCAAATCTTGGCCCCCTTCCTCAGCAGCCCGAGGATGACGTCCGAGGAGCAAGACAATGTGGCGTAATGGAGCGGAGTGTTCTTCCACTTGTCCTGGCAGTTGGTGTCCGCGTTGGCCTCGAGTAACAGAGCGATGATGTCGTCGATTCCGAGGAGGCACGCCCAGTGCAATGCCGTGCGACCGTAGACGTCTCTGGAATTCACATCGCCTTCGTTTAGTTTTTCGCGTATTCTGTTTTTCAGTTCGTCCCTTGTCACCTCATCGTTCTTCGCCGATTCATTCTCCGGTTTCTTCGCAAATTCAATCACCAATTCCCACAAGTTATTCCTTTGAAGAGCCGCCTTCCCGGATCCGTGAACCTGTAAGTGCATCACGCTCCAATGAACCGTAGAATATTCAATTGAGGCACGTGGAAAATTCCCACGGTTGCAACACAAAATAAGTGACTTTAACCGAGTCTCTGCATGGATTTATTACCATGTAGAAAACCTACGGTTGAATATACGATTCAAATTGGATCCCATACAATTTCCCATGGGAACTCTATCGTTCGGGATTCTTATTAGGTAATGTAGACAATAAAAATTCAGTTTTTCTTCGACTTTCTGGTTCCATGGTAAAATATACAGAGTAGGCAAAAAAGAACTAAGCTGTCATTTTTTATGAGTCGTCAACCTCTTTGTAGGGTGTCGATTTTAATTAAAATTGATAAACTTATAGGTTGACACAATTGGAGTTTGTTAACCAATTTTCAGCTTTCTGGCTCTAAAATTTTTAGAGCTGTAATTATTTTCCGATGACTACCGACAATATGAGCTGTCAAAAATATCGATATGAACTTGAGGCTGGGATGAAAGGGCGGTCCGAACTCACGAATTTCTATCCCTGCATTGTGTTACAAAGGAAGATTGGGAGGCACTGCCTCAAAGGTTCATTGACCGAGCCATTCAACTGCGGTGTCTTAGACTAGTGGCAAGTGTTCAACCGGATGGTGAGCACATTGAGCACCTTTTCAGTTGAAATGAACGTCCCTAAACCAAGTTGTGGGCTTTCGNAGTCGTCAACCTCTTTGTAGGGTGTCGATTTTAATTAAAATTGATAAACTTATAGGTTGACACAATTGGAGTTTGTTAACCAATTTTCAGCTTTCTGGCTCTAAAATTTTTAGAGCTGTAATTATTTTCCGATGACTACCGACAATATGAGCTGTCAAAAATATCGATATGAACTTGAGGCTGGGATGAAAGGGCGGTCCGAACTCACGAATTTCTATCCCTGCATTGTGTTACAAAGGAAGATTGGGAGGCACTGCCTCAAAGGTTCATTGACCGAGCCATTCAACTGCGGTGTCTTAGACTAGTGGCAAGTGTTCAACCGGATGGTGAGCACATTGAGCACCTTTTCAGTTGAAATGAACGTCCCTAAACCAAGTTGTGGGCTTTCGTGTTTGGCATATGTGCATTTGTTTTTGTTCTGTTTGCTCGTCTGTTTTTGTCAGTTGTGAAAGACTTTAAGCTGAAAGAAAAAATGGATACTTTTTGTGTGATGAAATGTAAATTAAATGCCAATCTCACATTCTTTACATTTTTATTTGAAACTTGGCACACAAATCCTAATTGAGTCACCCTATATATCTACCAAATTTAATCAAAATTGACTATCTACAATCAGATTGACAACTTACCAAAAATGATAGCTTTGTTTTTTTTTGGCCCACCCTGAACATGAATGGTCTTCGATGCTAATTGCATTAACCTGCTTTTCTAGTTTGGAAAGCGTTAGCTTTTGAAATGATGAATTATGCACTACCGTTGATTTCATGGAAATACATTTATATCTGCAAATTTAAGAGTGTTGATCGAGCGAGTATATTTCGCTGGCGTTCGTTCTGGAAAAAGGTTTAGTGGAGTTTGTGGTAGTTCGGGGTGTCTTCGAGCCCGAGGGCATTAACCCTTTCAGACCTGAATTTAAGGCCACTATCGGAATAATAGTTATTTTTGAACTTTTTAAAGCTCTTTTCCTATTCTACTCTAAGTTTTTATCGTTCTTTATATTTTGTATACATTTACCATATCATACTATATATTGTATACGTGTGATTACATAATTGAAGATTACCAGACTGACGGATGAGAGCAGGACTCCGACGGAATTGAGCCATGCATCATTGTCCATTGTAGTGTAATATGGGGCCGCAAAATCACGAGAATCCCAATGAATTACCATAGAACCAATGAAAATGCAATGTCCATTAGAATGGACGCGGGGTCTGAAAGGGCTAAAGCAGGAGTTGGGAACCTTTTTGACAATGCGAACCATTTTAAGATTGAGCTAAGTGCCTTTGAACAAAATGTTTTTAGAACAACAGAATTTTTCCTGAAGTTGACAACAGACATATGCATTCTTTGATACATGAGACAAATGAGGAACAAGCACGATTTTCAGTCATGACTCAATGAGCCAAACTTTTCGGCTTGTGAGCCAAATTTGGCTCATGAGCCATAGCTTCCGGACCCCTGGGCTAAGGAATTAAGCACGTTCGAGATGTCAGCCATCCACAGCAAGCCAAAATGGGGAATGCCTTAAACGCACTTGGCCACAGAGTCGTCAAGTTGGCTAACTTCGATAGAAAATGCACTAGGTGCATGGTGATGACGGGAAGACGCACCCACTAGTTCCTTACGTCACAGTGTGTTATACAAAGACATGGATGCTGGGGGCGAGGCACCAACCGCTATGTTTATCAAATGTCTGCGAAAACCATACTACTGTACCCTTTGCCCCTTTTCGAGAGCATATTGTTGTAGAACATAACAAGGTGGTATTGAGGAAATTTTTTCAGTTTCAATTATAAAAAAAAGGGCAAACGCAAAAATTACCTGTGCTTTCCTGAATGCACTCGATGGTTCGCTCATGATGGTGAGCGATGGTCTCGTTTCACGTGCGGCTCCACGGCATGGCACGAATCGGAAGGGAGGAAGAAGTTGTAGTGCGAAGGATTCTTCCTGAGACCGGCATCGAATCTCGTGATGCTATTATGTGGGACTTGACGATAAAACCTTGATAAGATCATTCGCTTTGCTTCGTTTGCTCTAATGGCCCCTAATAAAACGTCTTGAAAATATGCAATCCAGCATCCCATTCGAGACAGGAAGTGACACACGAGATAAGACCAGGATTCCAAACTTGTCCCGTTGATAGACGATTTCAACCGAGAAGAGATAGGAATGGCATGCGAAGAAGGCAAATCAATTCGAAAAAGAAGGTCAGGAGTGATGGATTCTCAGTTTCCCAGCACCGACTCATCTGCCTGTATGCCAACCAAAATTATTCCATGAATTCACAAAGGGTGACATCCTGTCCATTCAGTCCGGAACAGACGAAAATTGACCCATCCGTACTAATCCTGAATCATGATTCCGCATGCCTTTTTGAGACCAAATTTTTGGACGATTCTCCAAAATGTACGATCATTTATGATTTCACTTCTCTCCCATTTTGATTGCCATGAAATGCAAGCAGTGGCTTCGCATGCCGTCGAACAAGAAAGACTCACATTGGCAAGTACTAACTCCAGAAAAGCAGAAATTGAATCTATCCGCGTCAGAATTGAAGATGAAGTCAAGAGGGTTCGTTAAATGCAGCCCAGAGTGGAAACGGCTTCACTTTATTTCAAACCCTGCACAACCCTTACAAAACGTCCGCCTGCATTCACCGGGGGTGGACGTCAGGTGGATGCTCTTATGGGGGATGGAGGTCTCCAAGTGTATGTTTAAGAGGGTAGAGGATAATAGATTCTGGAGCCTAAGATCGGTCTTGCTCTTGTGCGTCAGGTGTGAGAGCACTTATTCAGTTTCTTAGCTACCGTCTTGAACTATTGAATTATATTACGATATTCTTCTGAAGGCATTCAGTGGCATGAGAATGTTTAAGCTGAACATGTTTCGTGGTTTTCCACTGAGGAATTGCATAAAGAAATTCAACCTGGAAAGACGAGAGCAAGGATTTCACACAACACGTGGAGAGGAGGAAAGAGGAATGGGAAGTAAATGAGCAAAATGCGCGCCAACTTGAGAGAAGGTGAGAGCGGGAAGTGCAGGGAGACGGAGGACGGATGAACGGAGTTGCTTTTGAAAGAGAACGCGCCGGAGTAAGTTATCCTTTACTCGGGTGTCAGCGTGATATTACGTCGACATTCTCGAAACGTTCGGATGACCGTTGTTAGGGAAAGGGTTAAAAGTAGAGGTTTTACCTCCCTTTTCTTCGCTTCATCGGGGACGTCACGACGCGAACTGCAAGGGAGTCAGTCGAGTCGAGGCGAGTCGAGGCCATGGGTGGGGAGGGGGTCGACGACCCTCGCCTCCTGGATGTTTTCCGGGTTTCGCTCAGTGCGTTTCTTCTCGCTCGGTTTCGGCGTCGTGGGGTCGCAGCTTTGAGCTTGGGTCGAGGTTCGGATTTCCTCTAGCCTGTAGGCAAGATAAACCACATAACCGGCAGCTCTAGTTTCTCCACTCGTTCCACCCGAATGAAGCGACCGATTCTCCACGTCCTTGTCGCGTTCGTTCCAGAGAAAATGAAGAAATTGGGCTTCTAAAGCAAGAGCTAGGTGTTCCTGATGTAGCCATTTAGGTTTCTCGATAGGAAATAGCATCGATCGAGAAACTGCTGCTATAACTATCAAACCATTGCAATTTAATTTACGATATTTCGTTTTCCATCTTTTTTGGATCTAGAAGTCATCTCAGGTTTCTGGATTTGTTATCTCCAGCTTTCCTCTTTGCCTCGAGTCTGGATCGATCGTAAATGAACTTTCTGTTGATATAACACCGCTTGCTGCCAACGTGGCCATATCTCTCGACTTTCAAGCTGCTTCACGATGACATCTTTATCGAGTCTTTGCAATTCATTTTATTCTTCAGCTTCTGAAATTCGGGGATCTCCTTATTCTCGGCCCGGTAACTAATGCGCATTTTAACAACGAATACATCGTACTCAGGCTTCAAGAGCATGTTGCAGCAGCTGAAACAAGGGAGAGAGCTACTGTAAATGTGAATTTCTGCGAAGTCTTCATGATTTTCTTCACCGTGGAACGTTAATCAAACCATATTCGGTAGACAGGAAGTCAGCGCCGGATCTATGGGCTCAATCCAATACATGCACGAAGTCAAGAGTTAGCTCAAAAACTGCGATAGATGATAATTGAAGAGATGATTTATTCTCCATTTCAGCAAGTCACTCCTGGCGGGTGTTTGAAGCTCGTAGACAATATAACAGTTTACTTACATAATGTTACAAAATACATATATAAGGTTTAGAAACTCAGGCTCTCCTGATCAAAACACAACCTGATAAGCATTCAGTCCATATTTCCAGTTTTCAAACCATGTAAAAAGGTATACAAAAGTTCACAAGGCATTGCTATCTAAACGTTATCATGCATTAACTTTTAAAATTTATTTTTCGTGAAAGGGCATATCTGAATGAAATCGTGCATTAGCTCCAAACCATGAACAGCCATTACTGTATCTTCGTTCATGTCCACCTTGAGGTAGTCAGTTTACAAAGATACATCTAAATTACCTGGAAATCTTTCTTCCAGGGACCTTAAAAAGTCCTCTTTTAGCCACTTTGCATAATACTTTCCAATCTCTCTGCATTCCTTCACATTCTTTTTTAATTCTTCCAGCTTTTGCTCTGATTCTTTTTGATCGGTGTTAGGTTTGCTGTAGAATTGCCTATAAAATATGCGCAACTTATGAAGAGGGATCACCGACTGAGCCAGGAATTTCTCGCAGCAGGACATACAAGGGGAATAGTTGGTATACAGTAGAATTTCTTCTATGTCATTCGATGGAATCTTGTCCTCTTCGATCCATTTTAGCAGCTGCAATTCAATGTGTTGCTTCGGCCCATTATAACGAAAAATGCCACACCAGAACGCTTTTAGAGGCGGTGTAGAATTTCCCTCATGAGAGAACTTTTTCACCTTTACCATGGAGATGGTCTTACTCGGTAAGTATTGCTCGAGCTGTGGCTGCAATTTGCAATTCCATTGAACGCCACATATATTTAAGAACTCCATCAGACCTTTTTTCTTTTCATCCTTTTCATCGTTCATGAGTTTGGTCTCTTCTCCAGTCCAATAGAAGATGGTGTACAGAAGGTGAACTTTCTGTTGATTTTCCATTGCTTGCCACCCATTTGGACTGATCACCAATTCGGACTGATCTACCAGATCCTCCATGTCTGCTCTACTGAGCGATTGGCATGTCATTTTTACCTTCAGCTTCTGAAATTCCGTGTTCTTTTCTCTCTGGGCTCGATACTTCATGTGCATTTGACCAACCAAGACATCGTACTCGGGCTTCAAGAGCATTGTGCAGCATCCGAAACAAGGGGAGTAGTTGTTGTAAACGCAAATTTCCTGTACGTTTTTATCTTGGAGTTGATGTTTGAGCATCCATCGCATTAGTTGCACTTCCGTGCAGTCGATAGGTTGAAAAAAGCCGCTTAGGAATGCCATACATTTCTTGAATGGTTTCGATTCCTCTGAGTTCTTCCAGGTCACCTTAACTAGAGACACGACCAGCGGGGGTAAGAATGTGTTCTCATTTGGCCTAAGTTTGTACTTAAGCAGGAGGTCCTTAATGTCTCGTTGTCCATCCAAGACTTCTTTCTCCTCCCCAGTCCAAAGTAAAATGGCTCGTAACAGTTGATCTGGGAATGAATTAAGTCATTTCTTAATGAAATCGTCTCCAAATAAAAGGAGAGCAATATTTCTATTAAGTGAAAGCCACTGTGGCGCTAAACCATGCAAACCCCTAACGAGACATTCAGCGCGTCGTCAAGGATGGAGATACATTAATATTGCGCATCTGGATCCATTGCAACTTCTGCACTTCAAGTTACAGTGTAACTTGCTCCTCTTTACAGCTAAAACTGGTTTTCTTTGACGCGTACAAAGGCTCCCATTGTTACATGATACGAGGGCCACTTGAAAAGTTATCTACCTGACATAGAATGAGTTCACGTAGAGAGATGAATCCTTTATTGCTTTTCTATATAGTGGCCCTTAAGTTGAATACACTTTTCCCATTTGCCCAGTAGCGAAGATATTCCTGTGGGGAAAAAGATTCAGAGTCTTGCTTCTCCAACCACTCACACACAGCAACCTTCACTTCCTCATCCTCGCTAAACCGGCTACCGCGTAAATGTTTCTTCAGTTGTCGGAACAGATAATAATCACTTGGAGCTAGGTCTGGACTGTATGATAGGTGAGAGATTTCTTCAAAGCCACAATTCCTCAAGACAGCCTGTGATTTATGCGACTTGTGAACTGGAGCGTTGTCGTGCAGGAGGAGAACTCGTTTCGACAAATTTCCACGGCGTTTTTCTTTAATGGCTTCTCGGAGTTTCTTCAAAGTTGCCGCGTATGTTTCACCTGTTATTGTAGTTTTGTGAGGCAAGATTTCGATCAACAATACGCCTTCAGAGTCCCAAAAGATCGTTGTCATCACTTTCCCAGCCGATGGTTGGGTTCTGAAATTTCTTGGAGGCGGGGAGTGAGAATGTTTCCATTGCATCGACTCCTGTTTGGTTTCTAGGTCCCAGTGGTGTACCCACGTTTCGTCCCCAGTGACTGCACGGGCCAGAAAGCATTCAAAAGAGGCGCTGAAGCGCTGCAGATTCCCCTGACAAATGTATTTCCTGTCCTGTTGCTGACTTGCTGTCAACCTTCTTGGATCCCATCTCGAACTGACCTTTCTCATGCCCAGCTTTTCGTGGAGAATATGCAGCACTCTTCCTTCTGAGATTCCATACTCTCTTGCCAGTGACGACACCCTCACACGCCGGTACTCCCATCACTAAACACTCAACTTTCTCGCACATTTCATTTGTGGCATCTGCTGGGCGACCTGATGGAAGGTCATCCTCTAAAGATTCCCTCCCCCACTTGAACTGTTTGCACCAAAATTTTACTTGGTAATAGGAAGGAGAACCTTCGACATACACGTTTCTCAAACGCTCAAAGACTTCTTTTGGTGAAATCCCTTCTTTTGCAAGGAACTTCTTAACAGCTCGATACTCCAACTTCGTGTTGTCCATTTCAACAATTTTCAATGTGCTCTCTCAACAGCACAGAAGAAACGCCACTGACCTAATACTCCCTCCGAGTAATACTTATAGGCCAATGTATCTAACGCTGCTAAGAAATAGTTTTTATCTCTCCTCTTTCATACTCGGGTAGGTAATTTTTCAAGTGGCCCTCGAATGTTAACATCGCGCATGTGGAGCCATAGCGCCTTCTGCACCTCATGGTACCTACTAATTTGCTTTTCTTTATCAGCTCAAGTAATTGGTTTTCCTTGACGTGTACAGGGGTTTCCATTGCTGCATGATGAATAGTGACATAACATCAGATGAAAACACTCAATTCGCAGTTACTTCTCTTTCATTCGTTCCTTCATTTTTACGAGCATACATTGGTGAATGTCGTTTTTCGAGCACAGATCGGCTTAGAACAAGTCTTTCTTTCAGGTGCATATTGGCCAGAATGTTTTTTCTTCAGGGCATCGCCCCAACAACTCTCTCACCAAAAATGCTCGTTAGAATCTCATAGGAAGGTAGAGTAATCCCATGAACTTCCTGCAAAACCTCTGGGGTTCTCAGGAATTTCATTGGATCCTGCAGTAGGGGAAACGGGAGTACAGTGGAACACTGGACTTTTTATAGCCTCAAACTCATATACAGGGTGCCCAGTAGAAAACCAAAGGATTGCAATTAGCACGCCTTTAGCAACGAAATGATGTTTTCTATCGACAAGTATACAACTATATTTATGCTGCTTGATTGCGATTAATTGTTTTCATAAACGAATATAAATAATAAAATGTATATTTCTATTTCAGATTGGATTCAGTAATACCCATGGCTTTGTGAATAATCTTGAATAAATCCTTAATAATAAATAATAAATCTTTTGGTTTTTTATTGGGCATCCTGTAGATGGAGAAGCATGTACGTCTACTGTAAAAGGCGTCATATCACCCTTCACGTCTGTACGACTTTTGGTTTCAATCGTGCAGCTAGAGTGAGTGAAAATAATAATATTCGAATTTTCGGCCTCTTGACCAAATATTTCGCATGTTAGAATAATTGACTCAGACCAAGAACGTGTTGCTGAAATTGCATAATTCATTTCATAGCGCTCTGGTTCTATCCTAGATTATTTGTTAGTTTTTTGTCGGATTGCTTGAATGTTTCTCGACCAAGAAATAAAAAGTTCAAGAACGGTTACTCAGGGTACAGTGGGACAGTTAGTTATGGGGTAGACTGGGACATAACCCTGACTGCTCCGCTCTACTGCATGTTGTTATATTCGTTATTTTTTCATTATCAGGTATTGAAAAATAAACTAGACTATAGAAAGAGAAAAGGGGGACTCTTAGGCAGATCATGAATAGCAATATACACCCCAGGAAAAAAATTAATTGGGGGAGCTTGATTCAAAATCAAGAAAAACAAGCTGATGAGCAGAATACAATACTGAATATAAGCAATAAGAATTAAAATGGAAAAACATTTCATGGCGTTTACTTATTGAAAGCAGAGCATGTCCCACAGCTCCCCACAGTGCCCAGGGGAAGGGGTACAGTGGGATATATTGTCTTTTTTAAATTTTACCATTCAGCAGAACACTGCACTTTGAATGGAGAGAGCTTTCACATTTTTGTAGCCAAGAATGTCGTCTAAAGGAAGGCCCAAGCTAGTTTCCTAATTTTTTTCTTGCTAAATATATATATTTGACAATTTCGAAAAGTTGTCCCACTGTACCCCAGTCTCTCCTTGGACACGAAGAAACTCACCCTCTAGCGGATGAGGCTTGGAATGGCCATATATGAAAATCTACTCCCCTTCACCTTCAAAGAATGCCCCATTGCAGTCCGCGGGAAAAGCCTAGGAATTGCACGTGCAGTCTACATCATATTGATTTTCCATCTGGAGCTCTATTTTTATTCCCAATCGCTCCAACTTCGCGCTTTTACTCCGATTCCGAGGGAAACTCAACGCCAAAACTGCCATTTTAAAGTTGAAACTGCATTTCCCCGAATGCGACGCAGTTTTGTTCAACAAAGCGGATTTCGATCACCCAGTGCTGCAATCACCTTTCACTGAATCTCCCACCAGTTTTCTACGCTTAAAAAATGCTAATGTTGGTTCTAAAACCGGGCCACAAAAACAACAATGAACTGATGTGACGCACTTGCTTCCTCGATATTATTCAGCGTCCCTCCTCCCTGTCGCCCTTCTTCAGGATTTTGGCCTCGCCTCTGCAATTGAAGTACAATGCAAACTATGCTTCATAATTACGAAATCATAGAAATTTTCAAATAGAATATTCTTTAGTGCAATATGTTGAAGCAATTTTAGAAGTATATGTTGGCATCTTGGAAACTTGTACACTGATGCAAAAAGGATCGAGACTGCACAAGCAGCATGTTCAATTAAACAAGATATCAATTTTTTGCTAACAATGTAAATTTCTTGCGATTGCCATGAAAATGACATCACGTTTACGTAAAATTTACGTTCCTATATTCACGTCACCAAAGTGTACGTGTATTTCTGTCGGGGGAATCGGGAAGTCACAAGACAAATTCAGCGCCTTCTATGTATATCAATCGAGACGTAATTGCGCTTTACGTGACGATATTGCACACCGTCATGGAGTGTGCAGGTTCGTCCACGCATGAGCAACTGCACAACTTCGTCATGAAGAGCGCTCTTTCGTCCTTCCAAGAGTAAAACCATCTCGCTCTTTTGAACATCTACTTCTCCTTCCGAGGTTCCGGTACGGGAGGAAGGAAACGGTAGGTCACTTTGGTACTCTTAGAGTGCTGGTGAGGATGTGTACTCGTCCAACCACCCTAGAGTTCTGAAGAACGTAAAGGAATAGGAGATTCAGTATGTCAATTCTCTTCAATTGTACTGGTTGACTCTTTAAAATACGCATGAATGCCAGGGGAAAATTAACATAAATCTTACGTAAAATGAATCTAAACATGCTGTTTGGAATGCAAACGGGAATGTCAATTTTACGTTAAATTTACGTTAATTTCATATCACCGTTTGCGTATCATAGAGGTGACCCTTCTGCAAACATGTTCACATTATCTTGACAATGGTTTGCGTAAAAATTGTATAAAATTGACAAAAAATTGACATTAATTTTACGTAAAATTAACATAAACATGCTGTTTGGGTTATTCGTGTCATTGGTCGCAGTCAGGTTCCTGCTTGATTTGATGCACCCTGGGGTGTACTCTCCCGTCGGCCGTAGTGAGTTTAGAATAATAAAGTACCTGAATTATCAAAGCATTTTACGACTATATATATCATTCCACTTTGCCTTGGGTACAGAGTATAGTGGATTGATATACACAGTCGTATTAGATTCAACTTGAAATTGACGCAATAATCGTGTTCATCACCTAAGTCAATCTCGTCCTGCTGGTTTGGACCTTTGGAAAAATTATGACCAATCCTAATGCTAAACTTTACTTTATCGGGGAAGTTTGGTGAAACAAGCGAAATTTTTCGACGATTATTATGTGTTTAAAATGGATATCGCTACTGTAATTATCCAGCTAAAAAGAAGTGAATATCTAGTTCCCAGTTGAATTCCATTTTCCCTCCCTCCACTAAGCTCTACAACTTTCGCCAGACTGCTGAGTTGTTCGGAAATATCTAAATTCCCACGATCTTCGAGTTTGCTGAAATTTGCAGTAAAAAAGAAATATGCTGAAATGATCATGAATCTCATTATAGTTTCAATATGAGACAATAAGAAAATAAACAATGATATTATCATATGGATTAAAAAGCATGTTTTGGTCACATCCAAAAGTACTTACCGAAGTGCTTGCTGCCATGTTGCCTCCCCTTCGTTGATTCGCTCTGGAAGTAGGAAATTTGTATTTCGCCCGATACCAGGCTCTGTGAGACCTAAAATCGACCGGTCAACTTAACTCCGGTCTCCTACAAAAAAGAAACATACATCCAGATTTTCGGCCAATGAATGAATAAATGGGAAAAGAATTTATGTCTTTCCCTTTTAGTTAGCTAAGCCTTGGAAAAAGAGCAACACCCTTTCAATATCTGGCATACTGGGAAAAGCAACTCTACAGAAAGGAAATGTTTTCTACGTGATCATAAGTATAGTATCAAGTGTGGAAACCAAAGTCTCAGTAGACTGTCTTCATTTCCTTACAATAGAGACATTAATTTAGATGCTGTCGAGTGGCGGGCGCTTCAATACGCTGACGTCACCGTGTTTTTCCTTGATGGAACCGAATCATCATTTATAGCGGTAATGTCCACAGTAGAAGACTTTGCCACGGTGAGTGGTATGAAAATGAACCATATATAACGAAAGCACTGTGGATTGGATCATATCGAGGAAGGACCGTTGCGATTGCTATGAAAAAATGAAATGAACCACAGGCCCAGTCCGGTATTTGGACATTCAGCTGTCCTCGAACCCAAAAGGGTCATAGACTTGAATTACGAGGGGGAAATTCAGAATGTCCATACGCGACTTCAAGTTCGGAACAAAAGGAATCTTAACAGCCATGGTAGATGTATATTAGGAAAGGCTTTCGCATTCGCAAAGATTAGTTTCGTCACTTCGATTCTGCCTTATCCAGAGAAACAATTTATGCGTCATTTGAAATAGATTGTATATGGCTTCCTAGCTGTTAGAAAACTGACCGAAGTTAAGCGGAAATCCTTGATTCAAGAGAGGGTTAAAAATACCAGAGGCCAATTACGCCTCCAAGCGACGAAAGCAGTATGGTTCCGTAGATTAAGCTCTTCTAATTCGTCACAACCGTTGAAAGATCTATACTCCTCAATGATTGACATAAATTCTGACAATTGTGAGTATTTTTTAAAACTATAATTTTACCGCAAGGTATTCTTAGATAAAGAGGCTCCCATCAATACTTTTGAAAGAAATTTTGAGAGCGTGAGCCTTAATAAAACCTTAATAATAATTAAGAGCCTTAATAATAATAAATTATAAGAATAATAGAAACCTCGGGCAGTGGATGAAATTGAGAAGCAATCAGTATGATTCAACTGCAGAATTAGGCACACCTTGCCGAATCAATTAAGGAAAAGACTCAATGCTGACGACTTTTTCCATATGAGTGATCTAATGATGGGAGACCGACTCCTTAAGTATGAAGAATTTTTAAACAAGTTTAAAGTGAACTTCCACTTTATCAACGATGGACAAGTTATTGCTGCCCTTCTTGGGGAAAGGTAACTACTAATCGCGTCTACCTCATCCCAACCAGACAAAAAATTATTCAAGCCATTTGCATGCCTCAATAACTTCGGTTCCTTCGGCATTAGTGTATAAAATGTCCTTTGAAAGACTGGGTCTATAACTATAGAAATGGTCGTTCTGGTCGAGGCGTCGATCACCAATTTACGGAGAAGACGTGTCACCGAATATTCTCAGAATTCCCCGAAACCCAAGAAGTAGTTAGCCTTGGGGAGTGCTCCCCAAACTTTACGAGACCAGGGCCTCACGAACACTTTGGTCTATGTTGAGTGGGCCTCAATAAGAACGTCAGTCGACCCGGAGTGGGCCGCATTAAAAAAGATCAAACATGTTTACATGGTTAATCCTTCATGTGGCCATCGACTTCTTGGTCAAGCAAGACTAAACCAGACAGTCTCCTGCAAAAAAAAAGAGAGGCAATCGAAAACTGCCTCGGCTTGGAGTCAGAGCTCACGGAAACGCATCGGTGCTGATTTGTTGCAAGTTCCATTTTTCGAGAAATACTCTTTTTTTTCTTCTTAACTGCATTTACTTGGGAGGAAATACATTTTTCTCTTCAGTATATGGATGCTCCGAATTTTAGGGAAATGCAAGAGAAAAAAAGGACAAACGATCGAAGAGGACCTCGGAGGAATATGATGCGAGAAGCTCTCTTCACTTCTCGAAAGGAGTCGTCCAGCATTCAACATTGACACTCCTCTGCCACGCATCAAAGTTCTTGGACTTTCAATCTTGAAAGGTGTAATGCCACACGAAGTCGACTTTTTCGATGAATCTTACGTTCGATGCTTTCGATTAAACGTATTCGGCGAATTTTCATGCAGTGAAAAGGCACTTCGGAAAATGCACGTTCGATCGGTAGTCGCTAGGCGAACAGTCAGCACCCGAAAGGACTTAATCAGCCTTTAAGTGAGCTGCCACAACTTCGGAAATGGGAATTTGTTTTAGGATCATCGTTTCCAGACACTTTCCGGTGAGACAAATCTCACGCAATTTATGCGACAACAAAACTATCCTCGCCAAGATTCTTTCGCATTCGGTTGATCTATAGCGTGCTTTCCACCTCCGCTTCCTCTACCTATGCCGTCTAGTTGACTTTCCGCCCTAACCCTTTTGTCAGGAATTTCACTCTTTAATACACAAGTTCTTCGGCCAAAATAACGTCAACTCTCAAAAACTGTCTCATCACATTGGTTTTGACGAACAACAAACCAAACTTTCTTGACAATATTTTTTCATTTTTCTCATGCCGAGGCATATATGTTTTGGAAGACCACATTATGTCTTGGATGAGTGAATACGTACTAGCTCTTATATCTGATCTCAAGTCCAGTTGTGGAGAAATTCTTTTGCCTGAAGAAGAGGTTTTCATCATGAGAGTGGGCAAGAGAGGAAGCCATGCGAATCTCCGCTTCGCAAGGGACGAAGGATTCCCCGCGATTTTCCTCTTCTGAGGAGAAAATACTCTCTTGGTTTTTTTTTGGAAAGGTATACTTAGCAATGCCCATTACTGGATAATGGTTGCGACAGACACGGGAATACTTTGCATAAATGATGGCGTTGGCGGATGGCGACTTCGGAGGGTGACGCTACGACGTCTAACGCACCCATGGCCAAAATACAGCAAGATCAAGGAGGAGTTGAGCGACCTCGATGAAATTTGCCACACGAGATCGAACTAGCGTACCAAGAAAACTATTTTGAGTGTCAAGGGTGCGGGGTGAATTTTGGCGAAAAAATAATACTCAAATCTCAACGAGTTGTTGGAGCGTTTCATCGATGCAGGGTAATTAGGGTGCTCGGCAAGCATCAACTGGAAGTGCGCATCAGCATGATGCAGGAAGCTGATGCATGAAACCCCAATCACGCTCCATCGATGAAACTTTCTTTTAGAAAAATGATTTAAATTGCTTTCAACATAACCCTTCTGTTACGAGGGAGAGGATCCCGGCAGTACCCCATGTGAAACTAATTGTTTCAAATAAAAGATTTGTAAAACATTAATTTGCTATTTTTCAGTTAACCCTTTTCATGGTAGCGTCTCCATTTGGAGACACCATTTTAAATTCATTCAAAGCTTATAGCAGCATGTGCAGCGAAGGTTTGAGGGAAAACAGAGGTCCAATCGAAAGAAATGAACTGTCATCCAGTCTGGGATATAGCAAAGAACCTCAGTTACAAGCAAGTTTTGGCTTCTGTCTAGTGCATTTCTAACCGCTTCCGTATTAATTTGCCATGAAAGAGGTTAAAATACGCGATTTTGATATTTCCAGCGCCAATTTTTCTTCACATCAATGTTAGCTGGGATACTTAAAGTACTCCCCCCCCCCCTATAATCATCAGGTGTAGCATT